TCTTGGATTGAATATATTATTAGGATATTATAATAATATGACGTTAAAGAAACAATGATGAACAGTTCTAAGAACATTAAAAATCACGAAAAACCAATTTAAATAAAGTGTAGTTTGTTTTCAGAAAAAAATAAACCTATAAATTTCAAATTATTACCGATATATATATACATATACTTTGTAATTTGTATACATGTCATACATGATATAACTTTTAAAAAATCTTTATTAATATTCCATTGTTATATTTTCCATACTATTATTTTTTTTTATAAACAATTTGTATTACTCTTTTATTTTTAAAACTATTGTTATTACTAAATGTCTTATTAGGTACTTTTAGGCATTAGCTTATAATAATAATATGGTAGTTATCGATATCAATGAGTAGAATAGTAGATGTATAGACATTTAGTGCTTAAATTACTTTTTTTTATTACTTTTTATATTACAATGTGTAAATTATGCCTTTATATCATCACCATTATTAATAAGTATTATAATATTATAATTGTTTAAAATTTAACTGTTTTATAAAAAAATATAAGGTACGACGTCGGATTTCACCTAATAATGAATGGTAACGATTTACATAAGTGCAAAAAAAATGAATTTCTTCTATTACTATTATAATCTACAACCAATGGCAAAAATGTATAAACAAAAAAAGTTTCAATTTCTACCGTGAATATCATCACCCTTGTTGAGGACCTCTTTAAAATGCATACCTTGGATAATCTTTTCTTATTGGGTCTCTATATCATACAACGAAATTACTGACCAAATGGAATACTATCATAGCTTCGATGGAAACATTATTTTGTAGCGATGTTGAAGTTATACATTAATAGTAATATTAATAAGGCACTTTTATGTTCAGTATTGATACATAATTACAGTAATAATAAAAATAATAGATTAAGTGTGAATTTGTAAATAGGCAGTGTAAAATTGTAATGTTTTGTTATTTGTTACGTTTTTGCATCGAATAGATGATTGAATAATATGTAATTGAAAATTATGTAAACCTGATGATTGTATCATTGAGTTAAGGAAATGTTTGACCTGTTTTTTTACAGTATAACAATGCACTTTTTTAATTTGATTTTAATTTGGTTGTCTATATGAGAGTTTTAGTTTATAGTGAACTTGGTAAAAATTGCTGTTATTCTTAATACATTATTTTGTCGTTACTTATTACTTTTGACAAATTTAAATCCTAAAATTTAAAGAAAATCAGAACATAATTTTTACTAACTTTGTGTATTTTTCATAACATTTTTAAAAAAAGGAATGGGTTGTCATTTCATAATATTTTATTATTTACTTTACTTACCATACCGATACCACGTTGATAGAGCATGGTATAGTTGTTTAAATATTCTGAAAACTTTCGTTTTGAATTTTTTAACAATAATACTTGCTGTTGTGACACATTGAAAACAGTATGGCAAACCCAATTTGTAGTATCTCAGTATTAGATTATGTGTATGTGATTTTGTTTTGTGATGTGTTTTTCTTGTATTATTTATTTTCTTTGTTTGACTTTTTGGGTAATAGATGTGTTGCAAAAGTTTTATCTGACCCTATTTGGAAATTTGTGTTCACAAAACTTAAAATACCTGAAACTATGATACATGGAAATACAGAGTGATTTACCTCAACATGACCACCGCCATTTTTTCTCAATCCCGAATTTATTCAAATTCTAGTTTTAAATTCTATTTAAATTCTAGAGTTCTAAGTATTTAATTTTTTTTAGTATTTTTAAGAATGTCTTATAATTTTCAAATTCTTAAATTTTTTATAATATATTTAGTTCAAGTGTCACATAGTGATCAAAGCTTTTTTTTCAAACTATTTTTACAATAAATTTTAAAGCTGACGTTTATTTTTGAAAATATTGAAGTGTTTAAATCAAATTTATTGAACTTTAAGTACAAAAGGATAATAATGTAATATATTTAAAATAATTTGATCTTTTGATTTTTAAATAATAATAATATGTTATATTTCGTAAAATATGTATAAATTTTTTAAGTACCAACTAGGTACACTCATCTACTTGAATTCTTAGTTCATAAAGTTGTATAACATAAAAAACTAGCCATCTGAATTTCGATACACAACATCAACAATTTACATAAGCTCGTGTACGCTACAAATGACAGTAAAAAAGGCTGTTTACATTTTGTAAAAAGAAGTTTGTATCGCTATTGGACATTGCTAAAAAGTATAAAAAAAATCTAAGTGTTTAAAATATGGATTATATATTATATATTTGAAAATCATTATTCGAATGTATAAAAAAGAATAAATTATGATATATTATGTGAATTAAAAAAATTGTTGCTATTATTTGTAAATATTTCTTAAATGTTTATACCTAAATTATAATTGTTATATTGCTTAATTTAACAAGAATAATAATTGTATACAACTACATTTCAATGTAATCAAAAACTGTCAAAAAAATCAGTCCTACCATCAACACATTTTTAAAATATTAGCACCACACGTTTTTTTTAATGTGAAATTACTTACAGTATTTAAAAAAAAAGTCTGAAAATAAAACAGTGAACCAGTCAGAATTGTTTTTTGAACGCAAAGATCTATAATTGTCACGTTAAATAGTGACTCCTTCCAACTGCCAATCTAACCAATCCGCTTACCTTTTTAAATATTGAAGAAACATTGTAATCTTTTGTTTTTAAAATGTGAAACAAATTAAATCTATTGTTTATTTTAGTGTTAAATTTAATGAAAATTAATGTAAATAATGTTTACATTAAGTTATTAATGTTGATGATTAAATGTATCATTTAATTATTTAAATTAAGTACTTTCTTTTGGTTAAAAACAATTTCTAGTTTGTATTCTTTGCACTTACATTTTGTAATGAAACAAAAGAAGACCACAGCAAGAAAGTTTTCCGTCAATAGTTATGGTTTCTGAAGTCGTTAATTGTAAAACGATTATAATAAAACAAAAATAAACCCTTTTTCTTTAGCAGCGTTTAATAATTTCTATGGAGATCCTGCGAGTTTCTAAAAGTTTTTTTTATAGCGATTATCCCATAGTATCCTTGAACTTTTAGGGTTAAAAAAAAAGTTTCTTGAATTTTAATAGTACCCTTGGTGAGGTGGGTAAATACAAAATGTGTAGACCAATTCAATTTATTGCCATTCTATTCACTTAAAATTGATATAAATCTAATGTATAGTACTATTATAGTGTAATACTAGGTGTGTCCGTGTACAAAGAAGAGGCGTCGGCCTAATGGTATACTAAAATCCAATAATAATTGAATAGATACAGGCTAACACTTTTAATGTTCCATTTCAGTACGTTATATGGTATAAACTCTCATTTAATTAGAACAATGCAACATGGCAATCATTTTAATATTGATATTTTTATATGCAACTCTGTTTTTTCAGTTAATTTATATCTTAGTAATTTAATCACTTTTTTCTATATTGTATACCATTCACAACATCTATACTATATATTATTGTTATTTTATGTTTCCACATAACTATATTGTAATTATTGGGTTCACCCGTTTAATCATAATAAATAAATCATGCCACATTTGTAATAATTAGCCGAAGTATTTTTTAGTTTATCATAAACTTAATATAATTTTTGTTTATAATTTATTTTCACAACATAATTACAGTATGATTACATTGATAAAAATATATTCATTGTCAAAATGTTTCATTAATAATAGTCATGACTAAAATCAAAAAAATTCTACGTTAAACTCCAATGTACGTTATATAAATTTCACTAGTGATGCAGTACAGTATTCTGTCTCACAACCGTAACAGTACTTTGGTTAATTGTTAACAACTGATCAAAATTAAACAAAGGCTTGAGCAGTATTTCACGTGACAGTACTACGTATGTCAACCCAATTTGGAACTCATCATCGCCAATGGCCAATGTCAACTATAGTTTTTTCTTATGTTATTTCTTGCGACTGATGAATGATAACATTACAATATTATACAATCATTAAACAAAATTGTTTTCCAGTAAAAGAGGAACATAATTTCCATTAACTTTTCCAGTAAAATATTTGGGAAAAGACTCTATAGTGAGCACAACGGTATTTTTTATTAATAATTATTTCCTTCAACATTGTGATCATAAATAATATCAGTTATTGTACCGACTGAACCATTAGCGAGTCCTTTAATTTATTAACATACACATAACAGTATATACTGTCTATACTGACTGTACTTACATATTATGGTATAAATTAAAAATAATTTTATTTCAATAATATTTTACTTGATTGTAAATATGACTGCTTAGATTTATCTATATTTTCAAACTCGTTCACCAACTTGTAGCCTTAAAAAAATATTCATCCTAAAATAGTAAATAATGATTCCATGGATGTTTCAGATAATCAAGTATATATTTCAAGTTCAATCGAAATCAGATCATTATTTTAGGATGAGATGGTTTTAAAACATTGACGTTCAAGTGTGGGTAGAAGGCCTCCACTTTAATCCACCCCCATAATATGTACTGCACATTAAATACAATAATACAACTGTGCCATTAAATACAATAATACAACTGTGCCATTAATATTATTAATGACAATAATCTGATTAAATTATTATAATTAAAAAAATTAAACAATTATTAAAACCCATCTACCTATAATATGTATAAAAATGAATAATCGATATTGTTAGGTACAGTTAAAATTACATTATGCTAAAGAATATGATCACAGAGTTCTAGCTACTTTTATTTATCAATCAAATATTTAGTAGAATCTCATATATTCCTGATCGGATTCCATAAAGAAAAAAAAATACAAAAAAATACTATCATTTTTTAAAATTGAATTAAACCAGTTTGAGCACGAACAAACAATGAACAATGTGAACGGTATCTCTACAATGACATCTATCGTTATAATATATTTTTAATTTAGAAAATGTATTTTTTTTTACACAGGTTAACTATACTCAAAGTTTCCCGATACCCGTATAAGGTGACTGCCGAGTGCCGGGGAGTAGATTCTCCACTATCTTGGTCCACTCTGTTTTCATTAATGGGTTTCTCCCTTCGTCTCGTTTGTAGGTTCCTGACATGCTAACATAGTTATTTCTTTTGTTGGAAATACGAAACTGAGCTTCAATTGAAGTTTTTTTCCACCATAGTCTCATAAGTCTAAAATCTAACGGATTCCTCTTGTCTTGTTTTAACATTGTTCTTTTTTATTTAAATTCTAAATAAAAAATTAAAAAATAAAATTTACCTTACATACCTATTGGCTATTACCTACTTGAAATACGACGATAGTGTGTTTAAGTGACGTTGTACTTGTTTTTCATAATTTATTACCTACATTTTTGAATGATATATCAGTGTATTTTTAGAAGTTACAACTATAGGATATACAATTTATTTTTATACTCTTCGTTTAAATTTTAATTACTTAATAATTCGCACATAGTAAATAAACATAAATTAGGAACCATCATTTTTAACTAAATTAAGATTCTCGAGATACAACAATAGACCACCCAACGCACCTTTACAAGTGCAGTGGTCGCCCGCAGGATATTTATAAGGTTTATTGTTTTGGCGAATTGCACAAAAGTCAGTTGTAATCAGAATTATACGCTCGTTATTCGTTATTAAATAACAAAAAAATGAAGTCTTCGCGGTTATTCTATTGCAAACCACGATACAAACCCCAGTGGGCGCTCATGTAGAACACTATAACAAACTTTTTACATTTCCACTCTAGTGACCGACCTAGAACAATGAACTATAAACGTGTGGATAATGTCCATGTTTTTCGTATAAAACTCCATTGTTGGCGTGCCTATTATAATATTATAGAACATTGTTATTAATCGCGTTATACACGAGATAATTGATAAATAACGAATGAATGAAATTTCAGTATCTACAACTGCAGCAGTTACCGGTGTTTATTAACGAAGTAAATTATTTTGTTTACATTTCAGGATTTAATTCTCTCGAATTTCTGATACAGTAGAATATTATATCGGTGAACAATAACCGAGGAACTATGAAAATAGAATTTGATTGTTTCGTTTTTCAAAATATAATAATATAAAAAAAAGGCCCATAATATGTAGCAATAATAAAAAACAAAAATATCTTTCTGCATTAATTAACCATATGTGTGCTCAAATATTCAATTATTCTGTAACGCGGCTGTTGCATCGCATCTATATACATATATATATATGTATATAGATATATATATATCATGTATATACATATACATGATTTATGTACATATATTTTACCTTACTACCATACGTTTTTCGGTTTCAATTTTTTCCCGTGTGTGTTCTGCTGCAGCAGCTAGTCTTGAATTATTCAACATTGATACATACCATATTTTCTTTAACTGATAAATATATATATACATATGTGTATATTATGTATGCGTGTATGTACATGTGCAATCACAACTAGAAGATATGTAACGAGTTAAAAAAAAGAATATTTTGGACCGAAAAAGATTGGGTTTTACTGATAGCCATTGTGGCATAAATGCACACACGCGGTGAACTTGTTTTACTTGAGGAATAGTATTAACGACCCACGAAATCATTATGGCCGTTTAAATGACGTACAATTAAAAATCCAATAACTTCAATGTGTACTAAGATGCTTTCTTTGATCTCGTGTGATGGTAAATTGTGTGCACACAATATTATGTGTGTCACCCGTATAAATTATAGCTACCTATGGCACAATCTTCTAGAAAATTCGATTTTATTTAATACATAAAAAAAACCTTATTTATAGCGTGTTAGTGTGTTTTTTTTTATGTACATATCTAGAAAAATATTTTTTTATATCTTACCTTCATGAGAAAATCCTAAATATTCTATCGGCATACCTTATTACTAAGTAACTCAAAATGTTTAATGTTATCAATATATAATATTACCGTCTTCAATAGTTTATTGCTTTAAATATTTAACATGCTAAATTTCACGACTGTATTTTTTCGTAACTCTTTTCGAAATATGTTGTATGATAAAACTCGAACGTTTGGAAATACCTAGATCTACAAAATTTAAATTTAATTTTACTCAGATAAAATAAATATAATTGTCCTTGTTTTATTACATAATGTTTTGATAAAAAATAAACTCGTACCTATTTATTAAAAAAAATAAAGTAAAAAAACAGATATTCTTGCATAACCAAAACTGCTGAATAATACACAACCAATATGTAATACTTCGACGCATTAATAAAATCAGAGCTTTTGATAAAGCGATTCTCAACCTTTTAAATCACAGTTATACCTACGTTCTACAATTAGTTACAAAAAATAATATGGTCAAGTACATTTTTAAATAAAATAGGTACTATTTAACACAGTTATGGTGGAAAGAAGGAAAATAATTATGAAAATGTGATAATTGAGATAGTTAATTATATAATTACATCGTAAGCAAAAATAACAGTTTTTTTTTTAATTACAAATATTATTGTTTATTATTTTTAGTTTGTTCAACTTAAATGTGACTTGCTTTGCTATTTTGCACAAACGATTACATTATCAAACTGCCTGATATTGGTGAACTTCACTATCGGATTTGCTTAGACTTTAAATGTATTAATAGAAATAATTTAATAATATATTTAATAATATTTTGTGAGATCAATTGTCATCAATATACAACGACCGTTTAAATTATCTGTAAAACTTTAATATGTGAACAGCTTTGGTTGGATGTTATAGTATAGAACCTCTGCCATTAGTTCCATATTTTTTAAACTGCTAATTATCGACAGCATAATATTATAATCCAACGCTATTTTCATTCACATAGTTTCACAATATTTCATTTATACATTTTAGTGAGCTTAGATATCACGATGATTGTTATCCAAAGACGTTTCATTTGCAAAGTGTGTTCAGACGTGATAACTCCCAGTGGTGTAATTAAATACACCCAAAAGTTTTCAATCCCTTCATTCCCATGACGTAGTTCGTATGTCCTTTTGTTCGAACGTAGATGTTTCATACACGATAATGATAATAATATATACCTTCTACACATTGACTATATTATTATTATGATCTAATGGCAAGGATATGCGCTGTATAAATCTTAAGAGTTTGGCCAAACATTTGATAGCAAGTGGCGTTTGGCCAAAGGCAAAATGGATTTATGATTAACGGCTAGCACACAAAATCATAACCGTTTTTATTATTTAGTGCCAATTCTGCTTAAGTTATATGTATATAAATTAACAATTGAACATTGTTCATAGAAATAATTTTATAAATTTTTATCAGCGGTTTAAATTTCTGGTTTCTATTACAATTCCATCCTATATGTATGATACATATCTAATATAGAAATATACTGTTTAATAATTTACGTATCTGAGACAAGGTTTTTGAATCGTCAATCCTATCTGGTATTGTTATATTAAATAATTATTATTATTGTCTAATCGTATAAGATACATCCAAACAAAATGTAACGTTCTGCCAACAAGATTTTTAAGTTATTTTAAAATTGTCAATGCTAAGAAGAACATATTATTATATATATAGTTATGTATAAATTATGATAAAAATTAAATACATTAAAATATAAATAATTATAATTTAATTGTATAATTGAAAAACTTGAGTATATGAGTGATATTATATTAATCAACAATTTAAAAATATTGTTCCCTTTTAAAAATATAAGTTTTTAAATACTGTAACACTCATTTTCACTAGACGTGGACTATGAATCATCCCTGCGTTGAAAATAGCCTCTATACTGATGAAAATATATTTTTATTGTATTTAATAAACAGCTGGCAAATTTTAGGGATGTTTTCTAGACATTTTTATCGTTTAAATACTTGATGAATTTTAATTTATTTTAACATTGTTTAATATAATTCGTTCCTACCCTAAGTCTAACCTATCAGTCATCACCGCAGAAATATAATCAAGGGACTAGACAGCTAACTGAGGGTGGTTTGGTTTGGAAGATAATTTTTTTTTCATAAGAACTTGACGTAGATAATCAAGACTATGCGTATACTTATATGCCGTAATAACCGTACCGTACTTATATCGTCACTGGGCAAAAATGCTACTTAGACATTTTACAATCATAATCAGTTATTATTTATTTCGTATTTTCAGTAATTTCAAAATACAAAATACTATAAATATGCATATGAATTAAAACTACACATATTACAATTTTTTTTATATCCTAAAATACAAACTAAACTCATTTAATTTAAATACTGCATATTTCTACCTATAATAATAAACGTAGGGGGTTACAACCCCCTACCCCCTCACCTCAAGGATACGCCACTGTTTATATGTCAAATGTAATGAAATTAAGAGAGACAGATAATATTATATAAAACAATAAAAGTATAGGATAAGTGTAAATTAATCATATTGATATGACTTTTTTTTCAATGAGCAGCAATGCAGTTATGTAGCTTTATTGCCTAACCATTGTGCCGTGCAACCAAATAAGTAACAATTTTATTATATTATATTAACCATGCGTGTTGCATAATAAATGTATTATATTATTTTTGAAAACAATTTGAATGCAATGCATTTGGTTTTAGGAAGATCTTTTCCTTTAAAATATCTTCACTATTCACTTTTCATTTATTCACATTCAAAAATTAGTTATTGATCTAAGACCCCCCCACCCTCCTAACATTGCCTTCCATAGATTTTCAAGACAATAATATCTTGTTCCTTATTCTGAGAGCCGTCACAAATCTAAATATACCTTAATTTTCTTTTCCTAAAATATATTATAATTTTATGGAACACTATTATTTTAATATTTAATATTATACTTAAATATACCTACATAATATTATTACATTATAAGTATTTTTGTTTGTAAGTCAATTGTACTTGGATTTTGATTCTTATTTAAATAATTTTAGATAATATGAATAATTGATGAGTGAGATTACTTACGAAAAAAATGTATATAATATATCAATAAAAAGTAATCGTCTATTACTTTTCACTACACCCAAGATGATATTTTATGACTTTTGGAGAAACGAGCTTTTTCGTTACACGGCACAAGGTTTTCACCAGCAAACATATACACATGGACACTGACGATGCATATAACCCAGACAAGGTTTAAGCACTATGTACGTTATTATTGCAACACTATACACATTATAAAACAGAATTCATGCA